TTTGCAATTATTCAGAACATTCGATATCTTATCTGCTTTAACTGTAATAGCATACATTTCAATAATCACATATCAACTAAACAGGCTCTTATTGTTCTACTGGCTGACATGTTTCATTCCACGTAACCATCAGAAAGGCGATTCATTGTGTTATCGGTGAATGTTTACATTCACAGGTGGTTGACAAAATCGGAACGAAAATGTTAGGTGGATTTTATGCTTGTTTGCAACCGTAGTAGCTCATTAAAGAAAAATTAAAGTCCCACACAATACATTTTTTTAATCTTTAAAGATTACCATGACAAAAGAAAAACGTAAATATGTATATCATTTTATAAGCATAATAAATTAATATGTTTATAGATTTTAATTCAATTAGTTTTGTGAAAAGACATTGCACTTTTAAGAGTACCCACAATAGTTTACTAACTGTACTTCAGTGACTAGGTCTTGTTAGTGTTATGGTATTATAAATGTGGGTTTCGAATTAAAATTGAGACTCACGTCGTAATAAACATCTCTTTTTTACAATGACAACCCATTTCAAACCTTGCTTGATCCGCTCCAAACTCCAATTCCGTAAGTTCAATAAATAAAAACGTTAATCTTTTTACAAAAGACAGTGTATAGATGCTCAACTATTTCGAGCTACGCGAGGTGAATGAACGCCACTTCGCTACGTAGTTATTTATATGACATTAAAATACAAACATCAGAAAAATAAACGTAACATGGAACAAATTCAGGGGCAAATATATTTTTTTTAATTAAAACTGTACCTCACTGATTTAGTAAGACTAGTGGGTGTCTTTTATACAAATTCTTCACAAAACAACTGTTGCCTTGAATAATGTGGATTCTAGTACAGAAAAAATGTCGACTATCTGTTTTACTGTTTGTACAAGCATTAGCATACGAAAAGATTTAGAAAGACTGGTGGCTCTGGTGGCTATTCTTTACACAAATTCTTCACAAAACAACTGTTTCCTTGAATAATGTCGATTCTAGTATAGCAATAATGTCGATTCTCTATTGTACTGTTTGTACAAGCATTAGCATACGAAAAGATAAATGCTCCTGAGTATTTTTAGATGTATTGTGATAGAGACATTTTCTACTACAAGAAGAATGACTATGACTTGTTTACTTGCTATAGGTTCATAGATCCTTGAAATACCTTCATAATAATAATCGCATTCTTAAACAAAGTTAGATTGAAAAACGACAAAGCACCTAAAAGATTTTAGCATAAAAGAAAATAAATGTATATTCCCATTAAAAGTTTTTTTTTAAACCTGCCAACTGGTCTGTTGGTCCTATTAGTGATCATGATTGCTAAGTTAGAAGTTGTAGGTTCGATTCCCACCCAGGAAAAATATTTATGTGATGAGCACGATCATATATTTGTTCTCTCTGGGTGATATAATATAAGAATCTACATCAGCAGTCTGGTGACCATAGCACAGGTTTTTGCCTATTTCGGAACCAGTGCTAGCCGTACCCATTCCGTTTACTCTTGGAACATTATTCACAGATTTAGTAAACGTATAAAACTTGACTAATATAATTACATTTTCAATGCAGACAGTGAAAATCTAGAGTTTTCTGTAATTAATAAACGTTGTGTTTGAAAACTTGTTTGAATACCTGTACAATAGGCTATAAAAACAATAACATACACAGTATACAGCTGTGTTATACAGCGATAGTTTCATATGTTTAAGTACTTAACCTTAGTGGTCATTGCAATACTTTCAATGATTTTAACTTTCAATTTTTATTTAGATAGACATTTTACAATGTTTACTTTGTATTGTATATTACAGGCAGAATAATATGAGAAAGTTTTATTCCCTATGAATAAGTGTTGCCAGTAAAAGCGGCAATGTCTTACACGATTCATAGCCATCATAATTTGAATTGGCCTGTTGTCCTTAAGAGGCAGATTCCCCGTTTTTAAAAGATTCATATTCTCCCTCCTTTTGATAGGACACGACTAAATCCCTTACACTAAAATATTAAACCAACACTAAATAAACGAACTCTGTAGTAGGTGTTGTTGTTTAAATAATATGTTATTGTTATTATTATAAATAGTCGGTAGTTGCGATTAAAAAACCTTTTTAAATGTTTTCAAATAGATAAGTGTGCTCATAGCCTCATGAAATTGATGAAATGATTTATTTGAAAGAATTATATGCACATGTTTGTAAGGTCTTAAATACAATGATATTATTACCCAGTGCGGGCGTAGCATTTACAAAAAAAAAACAAACATAAAAAAGGACAGTTGGAAAACATGGAGGTTGGAAGAAGGCAAAGTTGGTGGAAGCCCAGACAGCCTACCGAATACGTGGAGGTATTACTGGATGAAGGGGTATATTGACGGCAAATGGGAGAGGTCGGTCTTGATTTGTCGTACACTCTTTTTAGATTTCACCGTGGTGCGCATTAGAGTCACGAGCTGATAGATACTTCGGTCAGAAGTCTCGACACAGAGAAGAGATTACACTCCTGTTACAGGCCAGGGCGAAAATCTTAAAAAGAGCGACGCACTTGGCCACCTATACCGGGTACATCAAGACGCTGAGCTGACGGGTGGTAATGAAAAGAAAAGGAAGGAATTTTATTTCATGGGAGTGCACCCAGATGGAGTGATCTACCCCCGAAAGTATGATAAAACATAGGGCAGGGAAGTGTCAGCAAATTACTATAATAAGATTTGTGCAACACTCCTCATGTATTTAACATTAATTATCAAAATCATATCTCATTTGCCTAAATTAATATTGATAAGCCGAGGTCTAAGATACATCCCAAATAATATTATAAATGCGAATGTGCATTAATTTGCTTGCTACGCTTTCGTGCTTTTACTACTCAAACGATTAAAATTTCAACCTATATTTTTTTGTGTACACGTAAACCTTAAGAAAAATAACATTATAGCAAGTAAATACCTTGTGTGTTAACATAATATATATGAAATTTATATATTGCAAATGTTTAATTTAGCAGTAATTCTTACAAATCGCGAGACACTCTTGTAAACCTCAGGAGCCATTCAGCTCATCAGCCAAAAAATACAAGTTTAAGATCAAATTAAGAAAATTTTAAATAGTAATTATTCGGGATGTAACATTTAAGTAGGTATATATATATATCATCAATCGTTAAGTCGTGATAATCATGTGTTAGTCCATATCGTAATCTTTGACCTGTCGTGTTGCCCTGGGTAGTTACATGATTATATTAAAAACAACAACAGAGGCGACCGCATGACACAATGTATAAGTTAGAAAATGCACATGTTTTTTATAAATCACAGCCGATGTGATTCCAGTCCAATTCAGGTCATAAATCTATTTTATCTGACCTCTTCTGATTTGAAACGACGTAGAAACGATATTGATTATATAGATCTGAAATTTAAAACAGTTCGTTCTGCTTCAAATTTAAATAACATCAATAGGTTATTGTTGAAAATCGAGAGTTTATTGTTGAAATAAATCACATTAAAAACCTTAAAAAGTCAATTAAATACATTAGACATACAACGAAAAATGTCGATAGAGTAGGTACTACACATTAGTATTGCGAAAGCATTTTAAAGGACAGTCTAACTAAATTGGTATATTTAGGGCGTTTACATGTTAACAGTGTGAACAAAGTGACATAAAATTTTGTTAGCGTGAAGTAAATAAGATCTTTTTTAGTTCAAATAGAAGGACTTCTACTAAATCCAATCATTTTTTAAACAGGAAACTTGTTTTGACATAATAACGCTTGACTTTGCCAGACAAAAACTGTACTACATACCTACCTAATAAAAATAAAATTCTTATGATGGTGCTGTGAATCCGTAGAAAAAGTACGTAAATACTAGGAGTATTTACGTACTTTTTCTACGACTAGCCGACTTTCTTCAAGGTAATAATGACATCAAATCCTCTGTACATTCATAACTGATAAGAGAATGAGGTTCCCTACTTTTTCTTATATGTAAACAAATCGTCTGACTGATGCTCGAAACAATGCTGGCACGAATAATTAAATATCACTCTAATTTTTAATTCGGGTTACAAGGACAGAAGCTGATTGTCTCTATAAACATCTAATGGTTGAAGGATCTGGAGGAGTATCTAATTAATTAGAGCAACTTCTTGATAGTTTTACACAATGGAAAGTTTTGGCAGGAGATAGTAGATAATGACTTTTCTTTTCATTCAATAACAATACCGAAGATTACAAGGAAAAATCGCTCCACCTATATTACCTACACAGTCGGTAATCATAAACTTGAATATGAACAGGTTGGGTAATACGTCTTAGTAGTTATGTATCAGTTTGCTATAAGTATCTTGCTCTATTACAACTTGATGCATCCCGAAGAACTATTTATCAATTTGATTACATGCTGAGCTGTAATAACTTGGCCGGTTAACGTCCGCCCCGCAATTGCCATTCCCTTACATCGGACGTGCATAACTCAGCATAAGAAATACCTGATAATTTACAGCAAGATCCTGAAACTGGATATACTAGCAAGGCGGTTTTGTATACTAAGCTGGTAGTAGTTCTGATAAATAGAGTACTAATCTTGGGAGGTATATGCGATTTATTATGACCGGTACAGCGGTGCTTGAGCCCGCTTGTATTGGTATGCAAAATGCGGCCGTAAACGAGATAAAAACTTACGCATTTTGTGTCACCGCAGCGTTGTTATGGGCAACAATTTATCTGTTTTTATACACATATACACAACATAACATATCAGTACAAAAAGACATGAAATCGTTGTCTTATTTATGATTGCACTGCAATGTAATTATCGTTACAATATTTACTTTTAATTAAAACACGATCAATTATCACTAGTTTCACAAATCAGGGTAATGTTAAAGGAATAAACAAAAGCATAAATCTCTACCTATTAATAAGTTAATTAAAGTGACCTAGGGGCAAAGGCTATGATGATAATAATTTTATATTTTAATTACCTTTTTCATCAACACAGGAATCTGGTGTTCCAGAGACATCTCCAACTTCGGGGAACTCATCAAGTTTCTCTTCGGCACACAAGGGCTCATTAATAACACCTTGAAATTAAGTACTGTTACACTTTTTTACTATTTATTTACTGATATATTTATAATTAATGAAGACTAAGACATAGACACTAAAGATAACTGTCACTCATCGTAGGCGTGTTATTCACGATACGTAAGTTTTACTTTAAAAAAATCAACATTTATTATTATTTGTATTTTTTTTGCTTTTATTTCCGTTTGAAAAATGTTGAGGGTGGATTTATTTTGTCCCGAGATACGTGGTGTGCGCTGCCACCCGGCGCTTGTGCTTGTTGCGAATGAGCGTGCGCAAGGAGCGCGCCCGGGCCGTGAGTGCGCCGCCGCCCGCGCAACGCTAGACAAAACCAATTTGAGATATAACCTATACATTAATGTTCTACATCAGTAGCTTTATTTGTGAATGTGAATGACAATTATCTCTATGATATCTTAGATAAATTATCGGTTATAGGGATTTTAGCGGCATATGAAGTTAAACGTATCACGCTGTCTGCGCGTGAGATTCACGCAACGGCCGTGTGATGTGTTTGCGCTGGCGCCCTCGGCGCCAGTTTAAATGTTCACAATATCGAGATCCGAACAAGATCATTCAATCGAAACCAAATAAAAAATTTGCAATTAACTCGAAATTAAAAAAACGAACTACAAGCATACAATTTCACTTGACTTTTATCTCCTCCATTAATTTACAAATTCCATAAAGTATAAACATAAGTACCTAAGTGTAATTAATATAATCGAAAAAGAACATTTTATCATAACATGTAACCGGCAACTTTCTTCTTTCGACTCGCATCTCTAAAATAATAGGCCTTTGGGAAAACCGAATTACCTTTTTTCTTAATTATCTTGCTATTGCTCCGGAAGACGGAACGTGGTTATGTTAGGTTAAGGTGCTCCGTCAACCTGATAACGGTCACGGGAAGCCGTTGGACGTGGGCAGCACAGGACCTTGGTGGAAGCCCATGCGGGAAAGTCTTTCGGCTGAGTTGATGATGATGACGACGATATTAAGAAATTTAAAAAAATAATGAGATAGTTTTTTTTATGTTTATAACTAAAGACAAACGTTCAGTATCATGTTTTCTACTTTTGATTTTATTTGGTAGGTGAATAAACTTCAATGTTAGGAATAAAATAATTTTCAATCCCTTTTTTCTAATTCGACGCTGTGGCAGTGCTGTACTCAAGGCTGTTTCCTTAGAGAATAGCACTGTTGAGCTTGGATAGGTCCAAACTCAGGGCGAGAGCCCTTGCGGCTCTGTATCAGTGGCGCAAGGAGGCGCAGGAGTTGGGTCGATGCCCCGAGATTCGAGAAATCGATGACCGGAAATCCCAACTCCGCCAGGTCATCATAGGGGAGTGGAGGGAACGACTCGGGCAACCGAGCGCCGGGCACGCCGTCATTGCGGCGGTAAGACCCGTTATGGAGGATTGGCTCGAGAGGCATCACGGGACCCTCTCATACCGATTGACGCAGGTGATCACTGGGAAGGGATGTTTCGGAGATCACCTGTGTCTGATCCGCAAGGAGCCAACGCCTGAGTGCCACCACTGCGATGGCCAGATCGTGGACACGGCTCTCCACACGCTGGCAGAGTGCCTGGCGTGGGTTGAGCAGAGGCGAGACCTCGTGGCGGCCATCGGAGTGGGAGTTCTCTCGCTCGATAGCCTGATTGCGGCTATCGTGCGGAGCGAGAGTGCGTGGAACTCTGCCGTCTCCTTCTGCGAGCAAGTTATGCTCGCGAAGGAGACGGCGGAGCGGGACCGGGAGAGGTTTAGAACTCTCCCGGCCCGCCAGGCCCGGGCACGGGCCAGGCAGCGCAGGCGACTCAGGCGCCGGAGGTCGCAGAACGACCTCCGTCCTTCATAAGCGCAGGCCTGGGGGTGACAGGTGAGGCCATCTGTCACCCTAGCAGAAGCAGGCCGGGGTGACGGCGAGCGCGTTGCGAAGCGCGCTCGCTTCCAGGGAGCACAGGGAACATGGGGTTCCCACACGGGGGGGGGTCGTCTACTCGTCTGTAGATGACCCGAGGTATGTCGGGGCACCAGGGACTTCCTTTCTAGGGTATACCTGGTTCCCCGGCTATTAGTACCCGGCGAAGGCGTGCGGTTTTAGTCGGTTCGAGTCCGACATGCCACCGACAGGTGGTATCCGAGGGGATTTCCGCACGCAAAAAAAAAAAATAAAAAAAAAAAAAAAAGGTCCAAACTCAGGACCAACATACGAGTATGCTACTGCTGCCTAATGCAGTCTTAGTCCCGTGGCCCCATCCAAGGATCCTATACTCTAGACTTCATTGACCCAGTCTATCCATGTTCTTTACCCCATTTTTTTTTTATTCTAAGACAACTCCCGCAGTAAGAATAACAAAGTGTAGTCCCATGTGGGGATCGGACCCACAGCACTTAGCGTAGTGGCGCAGGGACGTGGCGACCGCTTAAACCACTATGCCATCCGTGTTCTTTTGTCCTCATAGTGGTTACATTGCAGACATTCTGACATTTTGTGGATGAAGCAATGGTTGGAATAAGGCAGGCAGACGGCCATAAAAGAACAGGAGTAGAAAAAAGGATGTAAGTACCTTAAAAAAATATTAATATTATATATTTTAGAAAGAAAGTACTCTTTGAGTGAAACACAATATTGGCAAACGTGAATTCATATTATATTATCATATTATTCTCTAATTTTCAATGATGGATAATGGTCGAATTTTGAATAATGGTCAACATTTATTTTAAAGTAATGACAAAATAAAAACAAACCTAATTTAAATACTAAAAACCTTACAATATTAATTAATTGACACAAAATTCTTTAGCATTAAGTTCATTGCCATAGAACATTATTTTTGTGAAAAGTTTAAATATGACAAGAGAAAAGAAATAAACACGAAATACTGTTACTGACGTGATCTAGTAAATATAAGTTGGTTTAATCAAAATGTCAACATTCGCCACACACAATTTATTATCTTATCCTGGAGCTTGTCACTACAGCCGCTATCCTCATTATAAACAAATACTACATATGTATATCTATTAATAGTGGTTATATAAATAATTTTATATAACCACCAACCACCACGAAGTTCTCTTCTTTTTCACAATTATTATTTTTTTATTTCTTTTGTTAATTTATGATATCAAATAAAATATCTAATAGTATTATTAAATACAATGAAAACTGAAATAAAGATGAAATTAATAAAAAGATAATTGTAAAGGAACAATTTGTTTCTTTCCGCTGATAGAACAGAACGGATGTCGTAGTATTTCAAGCGGTCACCGGCCACTTCCTACTGCGCTGAGTGTTGAGGGTTCGATCCCTACATAGGACAACACTTAATGTGATCCACAATTAATGGTTCTAGGTCTGGGTGTTCTTTATGCCCGTTTCATAAATGCGTGTGAAGTCCCCCCGACATATTACTAGTGCAGGCGTTGTTTTTTTAAAGAAAAGATGTATGAAAAGTCTTCCAACGGTGACGTCCAACTTGTACTTTCAGAAGAATTTTTAATTCCTGTCATCTGATTAAATACACATGTAAAGGCAGTTATAAGTAAAATAAATAATAAACTATATTCGCCATGCTATAACATAGTTCATATTTAATTAATTAGCTTGACCATTAATATATGTATTAATTAATGTTATCAGTTAGACACCTATTTTCCGTGAGAGTAAGATAGGCCATTTCTATATACCTACTAGAATTTTATTCAAACGATGTTTGGATAAACGTGACTTTGTTATTTAACTCGTGTACATACTGATATACTGGAATGGATACAACAAAATAAGACCAAATAAGAATAAGAACAAAATAAGAAATTAATAACAAATAAATTAAAGAAACCGAATTATCTTTATGGATACTCATATTTCTCAGCCACGATCGGTGCATACGATCCTCAATTTTCAACGGTAATATTACCTAACATTCAAGTTTGTTCGTAAACTTACAAACCTATGAATAAATTAAAGATTTTGTCAGACATAATCCTAATTTAAATTACGTTTTAAGCTTCTAATTTTTACTCATTTACTTCATCCGAAGTTCGAAATCCTCAAAGATTTAAATATTCTGTTAGAGCATCGTCGTTGTAGCTATTAGAAGCGGAAGCTATTAAAAATAACTCCTCTTTATGTATGAAAACTTAAATAAACTTGCAGTCCACCTTGACTAATAGGTGAGGCACAATGACAAACTGTGGTAATGAAGTGAAGTAAGTATATAATATGTGAAGTAAACCAGTATTAATAAATAGTAAGTTTAAGGTCACACACGATCAACACTTATTCTTTAACAACGACTACACCTTAGTATAATCTATCAGTTAATAGGGCCTGTACTAATTATCGTTATACTAATTATGTAAACCGAAGAAATCTGTTTATCTATAAAATAAATATGAGTTACAAATGTATCCACAGCCGTTAGGTTTTTTATAGACCAAGAAATATAGTTTCAAGTCATAGCCTTCAAAAGCAGACGACGGGTAACCCTATACGTCAGACAGCAATAAAGCACGAGCTCATGGAAGCTAATGCTCATGTCTTGATCCCTTCGGCATCGTCTGCGGGACGAGAGAGAGTAGACGTAACCATGGTCTCCAGGAAGATGCACCGAGTACAATACCTTCGCAGCACACCTTGCAGTGGTAGTACACGGACATTGGCTTTCAGTTTTTCTGATATAGGTACTAACCAAAACCTCATGTCGCTTCTCTAACCATACCATCCACGACTTTTAAGGGGCAAGAGCAATTTATGGCTTTAAGGCCTACAACCATAAATTGCTCTTGCCCCCTATTCGATGTACTAGTAACTATGAAGAAGCATATCAGTTATCACAAAGCATATCAGTTTCGTTCGCCAAGACCTACTCACAGTATTAACATTAAACCAGAATGGCAACTGTCGCAATTACGGTTTGAGCATGATGTAATGATATACTTATAATGTTTGAACTGCCTTACGTTTGAACTAGGTT